CATTTCACCAAGTTTTGTACAGCAAATCGCATTGCAAGCTGAAAAAAATATAAATATTCTTCATTTTGTTTCAAGAATTCCAAGCAAATACCAATAATTACATCTTTTGCAACGATGTCTTCATTAGATTGATATGATTTTATGAATTCAACAAATTCAGTACCAACTCCATTCATCACCGGCATCAAATTTTTCAACTAAAATCAAATAAAACATTTAGCAACCATTTCCGCAACTTTTTAAACGTTTACTTACTTTGCTGGATGAGAAAACTGGTGTAATCAATTTTCGTCCTTCTTTCCATTCCTCATCACGAGTAAAAAAAGGATTCAGGGCAGTTAATTCATCGTGCTTTTTACTGACATTAAAATCATTGCTACGAAAACTATTGAATTTTGTAATCATAATATCTTTAACCAAATCGGGATCACGCGCCACAATCGCTGGCTTCAATAATTTGTAATAGCCGATGTATGGTTGATTGGAAAATTTGCTTCATATGAAAATAAATGAAACGGGCACGTAATGTGTTAATTCAGTTTATGATCTCAATCAATCAAGCCAATTTATTCATTCACAATTTTTTGTATTTTTCGATGTAGACACATTTTACTCACTTATACCAACCCGTAATCACCAAACCCCAATGCTCCGAAAAAGTGAACATCGATCCAATATTCCCAACAAATGGTTTCGGCTCTGGACCTGGCACTTTATTCTGTTTCCAAAACGAATAATTCCATTTCAGCCAAATGTACAACAGAGTGATGACACCCAATAAAATTGCGATCGTCAACATTTTGCTAGTGAATATTCTTTGTCTTATGCGCACAACTATCTATATGAACTGAATGAAGGCTTCTTAATCACTGGCTTTTATAGAGAAGAAACAATTCTGCCAATCTAATATATATATCTTTCTCATTGACTTGACGTCATTGTCAAGTTGACTTGTTCATTTGATTAGTTCAATTCATCAAGCATGTTGTTTTGAATCAAAAGATATGGGCAGCACTTGTGCCGATAGCACTTGTGCACAAACTGTGATTTAAAATATACCAAGTTTATTACATTCGTTATCGGTATTTTTAAGCACTCCTAATGATTCAACACTATTTTTACTGGTGAGATATGGTTGATTCGCTATGAAGGGCGTGAATGACATAAATTTAACTTAGTGTTGATTGATGGCTCGGTATACCGTTTAACTAGAACAAAAAGGCACTCGACAAATGAACGTTCCAAGTCATTGTTACTTCTGATTTTCATTTCACACCGATTTAAAATACAATTAAATGATTACATTTTTATTGATATTACTACCTTGGCCTTTGATATGACTTGCAACTTTTTCTAAACGGCGAAAAAACATGTGCTGCTTTCATTCGAATGTGATCTAAGTAAAGTATCCAAAGTACTTCATGATACCAAAAAGCAATTAAACACGTTCAAATTCATTGTCTTTATTAAGCATGTATTCAGACACCATAAAACAAGGTGAAATTTCAAAGTGAAATGGTTTCGTAGAGAATAAATTAATTTGGTGTGCAATTGCGCATGCATTTAAGTTATGCCAAGTGGAATTGAAATGTGACGTTGACAACGGCTGGTTACAAAACCGTCTAAAAATTGGACGTTTTTGTATTTAACCCGAATTAGTCTACATCAAATTGAAATTGTGTATTCAACAAAGTACAGTTATGACAGAAGTGAATAGCTAGGAATTAGTTTATTTGCGTGGTATTCCACTTTTGCCTGATCCATGTTCAGCAATATCCGATCTTGTTTCGAGTGCCATCATTTCGTCCGCCAATTCAATTACTTCCAGAATTTTTTCAATTTCCCGTTTGATGTAATCTAACTGCGCCTCGGTTTGTTCACGCTTCAACGTTGGCTCTTCATTGTTTCGATGACATAGCAGCAAGTAAGTCTCGTGAATTTGCTCGAGCAGCATGCATATCTCTTTCTCTTTCTCTGCAATAATCTCCTTTGATGGATGTAGTATATTCTCCACTTTCAAGTAGTCGCTTTTGATTTTGTCGAAATTTTTCTGTGTTGTGGATGCAAATACTCAGAATGATTGCAAAATGTTATAATCTGCTTTTGTGTTACCTCAATCTCAATTAGTTGATTTTCAAGGCCAGCAATCATCAAGGTGGCTTCGTTCGATATTTTCACAATATCCGCTTGCATCTTTTCAACTGATTTCAAAGAAGCTTCATCATTTTCTGATACTTCCTTCTGAGCGAGTACTACGAAGAGATAACAGAAAGAAATAATTTGAGTAAATCTTAGTAATTGCTCCAAAAAGTCTTCAGGAAAAATTATTCATTTTTGCTTTTGAAAAAAATGCAATTAGCAAAATGTTCAAAAAAAGAGAAAAAAACTCACACAATGCCTCAATTCGATCCAAAAAATCTTCTTTGTTTTTGAAAATTTTCATTTTATCGACAAGCTGCTGCAGCACATCCTCATACACTTTGCCCTTTTCGATGTTTGGCTTCAACGTTTTCTCATGATATTCGGTCAATTTTTTCGTTTTCTCCACATATTCATCGACTTCTTTTTGCAGTTTTTCATGGATTTCCTTTTCGGCCGCAATTTTCTTGTCAAGGATCATCTCTTTTTGCTCACACTCATTGATGAAGTCATTGACTTCGATAAATTTTTCCCGCAAATCTTTCTGCATTTTTCGTGCCTCTTCAGTGCGTTTTTTATTTTGTTTGCCCTTGACTATGGCTTCTTCACGCATTTTCTCATGTTGCTCAACCACCTCGGCATTTTCTCGATCATTCCAAGCTTTAACCATAATAATGTTATCAGCTGGTTGAACATCCCATTCTGGATTCTTTCTGTAAATAAAAATCATCAATTAAGTTTAAATACCTTTGCAGGCACCAGAAAGTAACTTACAAGTAATTTTTATTTTGTGACTTCGAGCGTCGAAAAATGGAATTGGCGCGTACGTTAGCCACCAAAGAGGCGATCGATCTTTTCTTGAACATTTTTAAATGTTTGCTTTCCGAGTAGCCACTGGATATAAACGCAAATGATAATTACAAAGGGCAAAAAATACCAATGGTATTAGCGACGATTTCAAATACCTTTGAGTAAATAAGTATTCAATTTTTCACCTGTTTATCGGTTGCTATGCAAGAACTGTCAAACTGTCATCATTGTTACCATACTAGAGCCAAGAGTTAATTCAGACTCTGCAGAGAATTTACCAACGGCTTCAACACATACGGCTTCGTATCAAATAACCTGTGTGACTTAGCTGATGATTTGTTTACACTCTCTATTAATAAAACCGACCAAACGTATGCAATAACATTGGAACACGGACATCGCCTTCATTTCGTTTGTAATACTGGTGTAATTATTCCGTTGATTAATTCATAATTTCTGAGTGGGTTTCCAAGCTATCGATTTTCGTCCAATTCTCGAATCGACTCCAATGTATTGTTGGTGGCATTAATAGAGGAGTTTGTAATTTCCAACGGTCATGCGATGTTGCCAGTAGTAACTTGCTACCGTGTCACATATTTAGCATAATTTCATGACGGGCGTCCGACGAACATGTGAATTATCTGTGTAAACAACCCAAAAAGAATCGTTGATTTTCGTTGTACGCCGTTCCGTAGTCAATTCCAAAGGCCAATTAATGCAGTCACTCTGCTGTGATGATTGAGTTTTATGATGCCATAAATTTGAATTTAATTACCTTGATAAAGTGATGCGTGCGTACTGCAAGTACGAATCTTCACCGAACGAGATACAAAAAAGAAATTTTTGCGGAAAAAGTTGCAAACAAAATCAAAACTCTGAAAAAACAATCGCTTTCATATTGATAAGATGGTTGCCATTGTTTTCAACGCTGTTAAAGAATTCCGCTCACAATGAGATCGTATAACATGATCTATCGTATTGATGTGGTTAGTGTAAATAACATCGGTTAACATACTTTAAAATTGTTTTGTTTTATTTTATTTCGTACATTCTCTCTTTTCATGTCTAAATATTTTGTTGTGTTGTGTTGTGTTAATGAATGATTAGGCTAATGGAACGTTAATAGATTTGATAATAATAAATTGTATTGGAATTTAGTAACTAAAGAAAAGAACCCAAAATTGGGATTGAATTTTATTTGCGCATCATTTTCCGTATACATGCACCAGCACATTGTAAAAATGGTTGAGTGTGTGTTATTTTTGGGTGTTGGCAAATGTCCAATGAATGAAATAGCAGCGGCATGAATGACTTGCATGAAATGCGCAATGACATTGATTATTAATTAATATGTGAAGCATTGCACCCCAAAATGAATGCTCACAAAAAATGTTTTTTTTTTTTAATTTTTTCTTTTATTTTTTTGATGGACGTTTCGAATTTCAATTACACTAATCAATAAATTCCACAAGAATGTCGTGTATATATATTCTCATAAGTATTTTGTGTGCGCGATGTTTGCATTAGGGGAATGATGGATCATTTCCACATTATTAAATTCAAATGACAGATGATAACACCGACTGACCGAACAAAACAAAATCAAACAGACATAATATTAACTAGCTATTTTTAGGTTTTGGTTTCTAGATTAAGAACATTTCTCATTTCATTCTCCATGCAACGGGACCAAAAGACGAAGAAGAAAGGAAAATAAATAGAATACAAAAAATAAAATGAATAAGAAATTACGTCGAATACAAATATTATTTTAATAGTAATCAGTTCAATCGACTTCAACACACGATCTACGTGCCGTTTCACAAGCACAAGCTGTGAGTTGGATTCTTATCACGAGTGTATTGTGTTTCTGGAATTCTCATTTTTTTTTCTATATCTCTTCTGTTAAGCATTTTTTTCTTGCACTTTCACAATCGAAGTAAAATTTACACAAAAAATTTAAAAAAAAACACCACAAAAATAAAATAGTTGTGTGTGTGCAAGCTAGAGGCCGATTTTAATGATGTTTTGGGAATTTGAAGTTGACGTTGTATTTGTGCGCGAACTGAATCGCGCTCCTTTTTCATTTGATGCGGGCATGTAAAATGATTAAGTTGTTGGTTGTACCGAGAGAAAAAAAAGTTTTATGACATCTGAACTGCTTATGATTAATCATTAGAATGTATTAGAAAGTGTGGACAATGAATAGTGTTAGATTTGTTTTTCTTCTCATTTTCTATCGTTTCTGTTTCTATCAGGCAAATATTTGTTTCCATAGATGGCTTTTCTTTTTGTTGTTGTTGCGGTTGAAACATTTCATATAATATATATATAGTTCACTTGTATTTAATTCCCACTTGGACATAACATATGTTAGCGTTAAAGCACGATTATTCGATTTCGCAGCGAATGTAATCTTGTTTTGACGATGTTTAACTAAACAAAAATATACTTGATTTTCCATTTATTTGTTTGTTTACACAATTTCTTTTCTTACTTTTTTACTTTTCTGTTTCATTCTTTCTTTCTGTTCACTTAATGCTAGCTATCATCTTTTTATGTTTCAGCACATAAATACAGTAAATCTCCCACATAATTAGTTGATTTTTGTGGCAGCGAAACATTTTCATTTCGTCCGCTTTGAGTTGTTGTTATTTTTTGTTTGTTTTCTTCCTCTTCTTCATCTATTTTCGGTCTTCGATTAGCTTCAGTGTTAGTAATTGTGTTGGATCGATTTAATCGTCCGTCGATAAATTCTAGTATCGATTGGCGTTTTGTGCCTGATTGTTGAATTGAGATGAAATCGCGGCTTGTGCGGCCGATGTTGCCGCCTGTCGAACACCTTGATTACGCATAAACTCACTTGCAAACTCGGCCTGTGCTTTGTCCATGCTCACTTTGTCCGATGACCGATAGATCGCGTGAACCTAAATACAAGACGAAAGAACACCACATTATTATCAATTACTAATGAGGCCCACCAATGACGTCACACACATTTACTGTGTGTGCGTTCGCGCGCTCGCCGCGCAGTCAATGTACATTTTTTGTTGCTACCACGTTGTATGATTTATAAGTGGAAAATGGTAAATAAACTATAATCGAATTTAAAATGTACCATACACATGTGCATTACCTTTGTTAAGAGGAGAAAGCTGCCAGCTGCACAAATAGCAAACGAAAAGGCAACAACTAGTGCTAGTATACCGATGAAAATGCCACTAAGACTGCCATCGAACTGTGCAATGGCCGTGATGAAACCACAATACCCCATGCCGTGAATGCCGACCGTTTGTAAAATCATTACGAGGAATTGGAAAAAGAAAATCAGGAAAAACACCATGAAATTGAAACTCGAATCGCTTCGGAAGGCTTTGTAGGCTGGACGGTACCTAGTTCATTTGTATTTAGAGAGGGTGAATGAAATGAATTTTTTTCATTACTTTTGCACAACAAATTGATAAGATTTATCACAAATGTTATTAATTTCTGTGTAATTATTGCGATATGAGGAACAAAGGCGGCATGAGTGAGTCACTTTGTGTTGATCAAATTGCAATTTCAATGAAAATGCGAATCAAACTTACCAACACATGAATGAAGCAGGTGTAAATAATGCGCCGTAGATAAGGCCCAAAGCGAAATGTCCAAAACTGTTGTCACCGCCACGGAATAACAGCAAAATAAGCCCAATCAGTGCATTCACCGTCAGGACTAGAGCATAAAAACCCCATAAATAGTACAAATGCCGAACGATGCGTTGAAATTCTGATGGGAAAAAGATTGAAAAAATGAATTAATTCGGCACTTTCTCATTAAAATTGAAATGTAAGCGCAACGGAGAACAAACCGGGTGGAATTTCAACATTTATATCTTGATAGAAGCATGGCTGAAAGCAACACTGTTCGGGCAATGGAGGCCAATTGTTACGCCGAATGCCAGCTGTACTATTTCGCAATTGTTCCTCTCGCCGTTCAAGGTCTTGTGCTTTTCGTTCCAATTCCTCTTGTCTTCTCTGATTTGTGAAAAATAAACGAGAAAAAATGGAATTAATTTGCCCGTTTTTGCCCCATTATAATTGAAATGCAATGGCGAACAAACCTGAAGTTCTTCTGTTGAAATTTGTGGTGCTGTTTTGCCATATGCCGAATTATTTTGACTATTTTGATTGTAGGCTGGGAACGGTTCGGTTCGCGATTGCTGCTGTTGTTGTCCGATTGGGATTGTTGTATGACGATTATTGTCATCTTCGAATGGATTGTATTCGTCTAAAATGTTCGATTGGGGCGCGATGCGGGCCGCTTGTTGAACAGCTGGATCCTTTTAAGCGGGTGAAAATACACGTAAAATGCATATTAATATACAATATTGCGATAATAAATCAAATGGAAAACAACAAATGTCATTCGGTATGAGTCAGATAGGGAAAGAGGTCGACACTTGAGCAACTGGTGTAAATTTGATGAGACAAACACATGCAAGCAAATACATGAGTGTGACAGAGAAAGCACGATGAAAAGTTTTGTGATGACACTTACGGCAAACGGATTATCGACCGCTGGCTCGCCAAATGGATTGTCATCAAAATTATTCGACATCGTTTTTTTTTCTACGCAGATTTTTACTGTTTCTGATGCAATGATACACTTCGCACTGAATTCACTTGTTTGGTTTCGTTCACTTCCGTTTACTCCGATTACAAAAAGTGATTGTTTTCTTTGCTCGCTCTTTTTTCACGCTTTTTATCGCATAAATTTAATTAAGAAAATACATCACACACACAACTCATATCTTACTTGTACACTTCAACTAGTGACAGCTCATTGTGACATCTGTACAAGTCGAAAATGCACGGCGATGGAATTCTGAATTCGGTTTGGCTTGTGACACAAAAGCTACAGTCGACTTTCAATGGATTTTTCTATCGCTCTCTCTCTCTCTCTCTCTCTCTATCTTCTTCTCCCTTTCGAATGCATTTGTCACAACCATTCAGATACGAATTCGTGGGCTGTGTATGCCAAGCGACGATCCATTGCTAGTGTTGTCGCATGTGTGGTTCATCTTTGCTTTGGATACAATGGAAAAAGCCCGACATCTCTCAAAGCTGATCAGAGGTGGCGCCACTCGACAATGCACTAGAAATCATTTCGAATGGGAGTCAATCACTCTTTATCGTTTTGAATCTGAAAACGAAATGAAAAATAGAAGAAAAAAATTGAAACGACTTTGAATTAAAATGTATGCAATTTGCAGAATCTATTCAATTTCTCAACTAATTGCGACAAATCATAAAAATCATTCAATCGAAAGTTTTAATTTTTGAATGAAAAAAAAATCGTTGTTCCAATTCCACTGTTCACCATGCACTGTTCAAGTGCACAGGATAAAGAGATAAATGTCTGAAATGGTTGAAACAAAAACAGGTAAATTTCACTTGGAAAATATTTTTCTTCATCGTTGTTTATCGATAGCATTGTCTATACGAATATGAGTTGAACTTCTTCGTTGCCAAAATCAGATAAATCTTATGTTTTGCACCTATCATGCATTGGTCACGGAACGATGCATCTCAGTTGAGGAGAATAAAAAAAAGAGAAAAACGAAACTTTAGCCAAAACAATTCGGCAAAACGGGTGAAATGACAAAATAAACGTGCACACTCAATGCTCGACTTTTCTTCGGTTCAGGTGAGTATTTCTTCTTCTTTTTGTGTGTGCGTTTTAATGGTTGATTTGCACAAAACATGAATGAAAAAAAGGAATAATGAATTTGAAAGAAATTTTTTTTCTGATTTTGTTTGTCGACGATTCTCATCTCTTTTGTATTTTCGTAGTAGAAATTTAGCGTATTTTTTTCTCTCTCGGGTAGAATGTGTCTTTTGTTTACCTTGTCTCGTTCACTGGAAATTCTATCACTTGGTACGTTTAAGTGGTGCTGAGATTGGGATTTGAGGTAATCCGACAATCAACAACAAACTTATCTCCTCTCATTTCGCGGAACGAAAATATTTGCAACAAATAAACCAATGAAACCATAACATTGTTCGGCAATAAAGCCGAATTAGTTCATGCTCGAAGATAATCACTAATTTGATGCAAAGAAATTACGGCATTTAGAGAAAGGCATCAACTGTTTTTATGTTGAAAGCATTTGTAATACCAAAAACTAACCAGACGGCCGAAATGCATTTCGAAGAACGATATCTGAAGTGAGACATTGAAAATTCAAATCCAAATCGTCTATTCGTAAAATCGAGCCGTTTTCGTCAGACAATATGGAAAAAGTTAGCGACATTTCCTTTGCAGCAAAAAAGGCATGCAATCGCCAGTAGTAGTATTCCGGCGAGAGTCGTCAATGGAATGGAATGCAATGCTCGCGGCTAAAATTAGAATATTGCAACGTCATGCGGCCATTTATTTATGATCCCATCAAAAAATGTTGTTTCAACGAATAAATTTCCCATTGGTATTTTTGCCGCAATTTATATCCAGCGCGAGATTTATTATCCGTGCCATCGCTCAAGCGAAGACGGGAAAGTTCACCTTTTCGGTGAGCCGGTTCGTATCGTTAACACGTCTCAAGGAAAAAAGACGTGCCACCACCTCTGCTGCTGCTACTACCGTCGCTGACGTTGTTGCCGTTCAAAGCATTCGTCTCAATGCATAACATTCGAGTCAGCCAATTTTCAGGGAATGCATACCGAAACGAACAAAAACTCTGTCAGCAGCGAGTATTCAATGTGCATTTGTGTTTTCCGATGAACGTGATTATCACAATGAAATTATATTTCTGGATTTAAAATTGGCTTTGAATTTCGTTTTCAACCCCGACGCCGTCAACTCAATTGTTTCGAAAATGTATATGTATCTAAAACCGTCAGGATAATAGTAAAGCATTCAATCGTCGTTAGATTTTGTGCTGTGTTCCGTTTTGGAAATACCGAAGTTTCGGAAATATTTTCGACTGGATTTTTCTCACCGTCGCTTCGAGCTCTACTCGGAGAAATTTATGATAGTCTTTTAACTTAGCATGGAACCTAATTGAGAAAAGTCTGGCAAGCAAGCAAAAAAAAGACTAAAGAAAACTTAAAACTTGTTGTTGAGCCTGTGCGATGAGGTATAAATCTTCGTTCTCTTCAATCATCGACATAAAACAGGCATTCGGTCTTCGTCGTCATTTATCACAACTTAACCGATCAACACAACTGAAAAACTGAACGTGAGAATCTCAATGTTTTGTCGAACACATTCGAAAGGACTCAGCCAAATAAACAAATAGTCATACACAAAGCAAAAAAGAGTCGAAACATGAGAGTCGAAATGCAGAGAAAAGAAATGGATTTCGATTAATATTCCATTGAACGAAGCGCAGCATGGAGAAATGGTTAAATACTTACACGTTTTTTTGGGAAGAAGAAAAAAACCAAGCACGTCAAGTGCCCGGTTTTGCAATTTACCACCCTCAAATCTTCTTTTCGCCTTGCAACTAAGACACACCATAAATGTGTGTCCCTCAATTCACTGGCTGTGAACAATTCAGTGCAGGGAAATTCCCCGATTCCAATGAATCCGAAAATACCTGTGCATTGTTTTTCGACATAATTTTATGCATAGCCAACAACAAAAAATGAACACTCTCACAGCATCATTTTTCGTTTTCACCATTTGTGTTTGTCTTTGCTCTACGCACTTGTTGACGATGACGACTACGACGACCGTAACTCGAAACTTTCTTAGTACATGATTTCGATGAAAACAATCGTAAAATCGTATGTGCTTCAGTTCGGTTCGGTTCTCACGCACAGTACGAATCTGGTAGTTTTCTTCAGTTTTTTCGCTGCAAATAAATATTAAACGATTTCCCAGGACTCCTTTTTTTCACACAGAATTCGGAAATTGAGGCAAAGAAGGAACTAAAAAATGGATTGTATACGGATTGAGTTCTCACGCTTCTACTATTGACACTTTCTCAATGATCCTGCATAATGCAAACATTGCTATACTCTGAAATTATCATGGCACTGTTCAGTTGAAACAATAACAACAGTTTTCTGGTAATGCATTCAATTCAAATGCATTTTTACAACTCGAATTCAAGGCTACGATCGAGGAGCATCGCTTGAATATCGTTGAAACGATCGAAATGGGTATTCCTGACAAGTTTCAAGACAACTTGAACATAAAGTCAAAAGACTCTTCGCCCCGAAACCGAATCTTGGTGTGTGTAAACATCTGTTGTTGGCTAACGACATTGTTTTCGAGTGGTGTGTTTGGTTCACTTGAAGTTCATGAATTTTTTTTTCATCAATTCATCATATTGTGCGCGTACACGATCGATCGCAAAGCAGACATGAGCCGACAACTCAATTCCAATATGTTCACCTTACGCTGCCTTTTATTTAAATGAATGATTTTAGTTAATCATCTGTTCGTCGATACAAATTAATCAAAATCGAATGGAAAAGGTTTATCCGGCCATACAGATGACGAAATTGAAGCGCATTTTCCATACGATTTGAGCTTGAACGCATCAATTGCATATGGTGCAAGAGCGCTCGCGGTACTGTACTATGGAAAAGAAACAATTTTTGATTGATTCATCAAAATGAATCAAATTCGAAACGGCTTCAATTGTGAATAATGTCAGTGATTAAAACAAACTGACAAATAGTCACAACCTTTTAATTCCGAATTGTGATATTTCGACGAGTGTTTTGCCATGGTGAGTCTTTGAAGTATTTGAATTTGTCGTTTGGGCAATTAATTTTCGGCAAGTACTTTGACATTCAAGCCGATAAACGCAATCTGTTGCTGCATTCGAGCGGAGCAAAGGATATTGGTTAGTTTATGGGCGCAACGGAGCCATTTAGTTTCGATTCCAATATGAAAGCCAGAATGAAAGCAGAATTCCATGCAGTCGACAAAGAGAAAGAGAGAAACTCATCAAATCACTTATTTACGCATATTTATGTTGAACAGAGTGTGAAGTAGCGTTGATTAGTTTCTCAATGTACTGCCGTATTTACAATTATTTGTGAACTGTTCAACTTATTAGAGAGTGCATCTTGGGTTTTTGGGGAAAGCCGAAAATAGTGATCTCGCACTCACAGTTGATAAACATGGAAAATTTACATTTTCTCCTTATATAAAATAGCATTATTCAGCCACAGAAAGAGATGAGAGAAGAATGGGACGGGAAAAAGGATCACTTACCGTTTGGTTGCCGTTAACTACTATGATGCATCGCATTTAACACATCTGCCGTTTTTTTCTCTTCATTTCTTTTTTCTCTTAATTTTTCGGCTGCACAAGATGTTATTGATTCTGCGTGTGCGCCATGTTTATTCCTAATGTGTGTGTTTACAATGTGTTTTCCATAATGCGTTTCGAAAAAGCCGTGTTTTCAATGCGCTCCGATCTAAATATCGCATCTATTATATGCGTGCATTTTCACCGCGATACCAACCAGCCAGCAATGCACCGCATTTCGATGCAAGTCAATTTCGGTGCAACGCACGGCTTAAATACACATTGATTTGAGCCATTTGGAATGGGATGTTCAGTTGGAGATTGCATTTTTGTTTACAATCAGACGACATGTACTTTATAAACTGTTGTGGTTTGAAGCGTAGTCATATTTTGTGTCGTTGAAAAATGAGTACATTAACTGCGGTTTGATTTGGAGTTGGAAAATTTGATTGGGAAAAATCTGTTCAGAAGTTGTGGAGATAAAACCAATTTTGTTGTGAAAGGAAAGAGGAAAAGTCAGAAAATCTCGAAACATATGGACTATAAAGCAAATTCGTCGGTTAATCAAATGCATTCCGTATTCATGCCCAAACTGGAAAATGATTCAAACAATTATTTCGTGTTAGCATTTCGACGGCTCCCAATTTTCGCCTCAAACGTTTTGCCACTTATTTTATTAGAGTGGAATTGTTCGATGACAATTTTCAATCAATTTCGAAGTGGCTTTTGGCGGCAAACGAAAAGAACAAAAATGACTTGGCTGGAAACGTTTAAAATCCGAAAATCA